ATCCCTCTGGACAACGCCACGTAAAGTTGCCCATGTGAGAAAACTGATTCCGATAGATAAACACCTACATTCGGAATTGTTTGCCCTTGAGCTTTATTGATTGTCATAGAAAAGCTAAGCCGAATTGGAAACTGTTTTCTCTTCAGCTTAAACGGGAACATGCTGTCTTCGGACGGACATAAGGGAATTCTCGGAAGAAATACTCTCTTTCCAGTATGCTGACCAACAGCTATTTCTGCATCGATGACGTTCTGTTGAAAGCCTCTGCATATCAATCTACTGCCATTACACAATCCATTCGAGGGATCGATATTTCGTAAYAGTATTATTGGGCATCCAATCTTGAGACGAADGTAATRAGGAGRCAAACCACTAACAGTTAAAGAATTTAAGAACTCCATCAGATAGATGTTGTTCTTATCATCTTCTGCTTCGTCGAAGCTGTAGTATATTTTTTCATCTCCAGAAAACTTGTCGATCAACTGATCATTAATCTCGTCGACATTCTCGTTTTTAGTTGACAATATTTCCCTCGAAATGATATAATCTGAATCAGCTCCGTTGATTTGCAGAGATGGAAAGATTTCGTCAATCAACACATCTTTTGACTTACCTTTATCAGCATAGGGAATGGTCATGTCATCCGGTATGCGAATAAAGCTTTCGTCCATCGCTTCTTCATCTCCATCACCGACTCTTAATAAAAATTCCGAAAACCATGGATCAGTGCGTGCTCTCATATTGAGCGTTAGCCGTATCTTTTTAATCGTTGCCCAAAGAGGTGACATCCGCAAGCTAGAATCTACAATCTGTGCTCGGGTTCCACGCCTCACGCCCAGTAAGACTTGTCTAAAATTACCCCCCAAAACCATTATCTTTCCGCCGAATGGGAGTGCCACCCCTATGATGTCTCGCATCGTTCGATCAAGCGCCTCCACTGCTTGCCTCTTTGCCATCGACGCTTCGTCCCAGATGATTATTTTTGCATCTCGAATCAATTTAGCAGCCCCGCTTTGTTTTCGTATGTTGCACATTGAGTTATTATACAGGTTCAGAGGAATTTTGAATCTAGAGTGAGCTGTTCTCTTTCCAGGCATATTATTGGCAGCAACACCCGACGAAGCGGTTGCGAGAGCAATAAGACCACGTGAACGGATGTTGGCAAGCAAAGCTTTATACAAAAAAGTCTTCTCGGTTCCACCTGGACCATCTATAAAGAACACTCCTGGATAATCCTCGTCTACGTGCCTCGTTATCTCATCATATGCGTATTTCTGGTCGGAATTCATTGAGTCTCGGGCACGCAAGTGTTCATCTTCCACGTGCCTCGTTAGTAGATACACTTTTTCATCCTACATATCACTCATTCTTTATCGTGTATGTAATAATTTTCTTAGTCGTTTTAGTTAATAATTCAAAATATATCATTAATAAACAATGAARAGACAATGATTAAACTTAAACCAACATAATAATACATATAAAAGATACATATAAGTTCAGAAATCCAAAAAAAAGGCAAATAATACATGATAATGGTAAAAYTAATCATATATGTTTATSTCATCAATRTTCTAACAGCATCTGCTTYAGGCATRTTTGGTTCGAACACGATTGTYGTTAACTCCGTAGAACTCAAAAAATTCTCTGAAAATAATTGAATATAAATTTTTAATAAAATAGAATATGTAAGTAATAAAATAAAATATTTAAAAATATAAGCAACTTGTTACGTACTTTGAGTTGCAAGAGTAGACAAATGAATGAGTTTAACTCGAGATGCATATATTATAGAATTATCTACAATTGCACAAGCTATCTCCATAAAACTGAATCGTGCAGAATCATACAACCTCATCCTTATTATATTTCCCCTATTATGAGTAATAAAAATGTTAGTTACTATGATAATTTGTTAATTGGTTAATAATATACACACTTACGGTCCATCTTGGAGAACTATTTCAAAGCATCCAAATCGCAAATAACCGTGAGTTCGGAAAGATCGTACTCGTCGACCCGAGATGATTTTTCCAACAACATCTAAAACAAAAAAAATATCATATCTTAAAAATTAGATTTAGGTTATCAAACATGATTTTATTGTTTTAAAAATACAAAAGTATCAAATAATTTAAAGGTACCGATCACGAATTTGCGCGTACTCCGATCTTCTACAAGAGTTCTTATAGAAGGCACCAACGGATGGAATGAAAAGTCATTTTCAACATCACCCAACAACGGAATTAAGGTGGTGTTTCGACAAATAAGGATGTAAAGTTCAGTGAAGCTGTGAAGGTGAGCATATAACCTTCATTTCTCACATCACCATGGGTATATTCAATTGCGAAACGATTGAAAGAGTAAACGTTTCCAATCAAGTCCATTTGCTTGTATATTCGAATTAAAGGATGATGATGAACAATTGCTATCATCTTTCTCCTCTAAAATATAATAAAATAAATGTTAAATATGTTTACATTTCGTTTACCATGCAATTAAAATTGTGAATTTTTTAACTTACGGTTTGATCAATTAGAAAGATGAGTAGTCTTTCTCCCCTAACATCTTCCGAAACGAAATCCACACGAACTTTTGTCAAGCTCCATCGTGCATGTACTTCGTTTAACATTGAAAACTCATCAACAATATATGGGGTGTTCATTTCTACAAGTTTGTTACACTAATYAGAACCTATTTGAAAATTATAATAATATACGTATGTTAAAATGCTTCAGACATTGAAATCCTACAACAGATTTGACCTGATTCTAGTATGCATGAATGGTGAAATGTTGTTTAAATGGTCTTTAAAACCATCTTACATATGTATGTAACTTTACATGATGTGTGTCTATATATGTATATATTATAACAGTCAGCATGATCAACATTATGTTGCACAACAGCAGGACAAACACATACACAAAGACATAATGTAGTACCAAACAGCTGATTTCAAGTATTGATTTCTTTGGACAATCTTGGACACATATTTGACTTATATGGACTTAGCTATCTGGTTTGTAAGTCCATAACCAGACAGCAGTCCCAAACAATGTGTTATATGTTATTTGTATGCACTTGTATCTCTAGTGAATCAAGTAGAGAAAGCATATATTGGAAGAAGATGAAGTTCAAACACTGTAGAAACAGTTCAAGATCAACAAACTTAATTGTTTTTAGAAACAATTCAAGATCATGTGCAGGCATTATATTTAGAAG